TTTTAAGGTAAGTGATAAAGATTTATCATCGTAAATAAGATTTGATGTAACACATTTATTTACTTTGTTAGGTCTATGAGCGTGGAGTAGAACTATTCAATTATCCCATTGCATTCGAGATTTGGAATGTATACTTAACAAGGTTTATTAACCGGTCTGTATGAAAATAGAGGCTTTTTTATCGTTTATCTATCAAATATCTAGATAAATTTTAAAATTTTTCGTCAATTTCTAAGGGAGGTTCCAAGCTAGAACGCGCTAGAGATCTGTTTGAACAAGCACTTGAAAAATGTCCTCCTAAATACGCTAAACCATTATATCTTATGTATGGTAAATTAGAAGAGGATTATGGCTTAGCACGACACGCGATGCGTATTTATGATCGTGCAACTAGATCAGTATCTGATGAGGATCGATCTGAGGTACGTACTTTATTTTATTTATCAAAATTTGTTCTTCGTCGTATTATGGATTGATTTAATTAATCAAAATCATGTTCTTTAAGATGTTTAACTTTTATATCGCCAAAGCTAGTGCCAATTTTGGTGTAACATATACTCGTGAAATTTACGAGAGAGCAATTGAAGTTTTACCTGACAAAGAAGCCAAAGATATGTGTTTGAAGTATGCTGAATTAGAACGTAAATTGGGAGAAATTGATAGAGCAAGAGCGTTATATGCCCATGCATCTCAATTTTGCGATCCAAGGGTTTGTCTTCTTTATTTATTAATAATGTAATTTAAAATGGTTCCACCGCTAATTAGCGTTTAATGTCTTAGACGGTACCATCATTCTGGCAAACGTGGCGTGAATTTGAAGTTAAACATGGTAACGAAGATACATTTAAAGAAATGCTTCGAATCAAGAGAAGTGTATTAGCTCAATATAACACCGAGGTACGATTTATAATTATTCGGAAATTTTATTCACATATTTTAAATCTTAAACTTCATATTTATCCTTTAATTTCCAGGTTAATTTCATATCTTCTCAAATACTTGCTACTAGACAAGGTAATTGATTATTTTTTTTTATTAAAAAAAAAATCTTTTGAATAGATATAGAAAATTTGTTTGAAATTTCCTATTTCTGTTGACTTTTTTTTTAAAAAAAAGAGTTTTCAGAATGATTAAAAATATCGGTTGAAGACTGATATCGACATAAGAAATATTGCTTCACTTAATTTAGCATATTCTATAATAAAAAACACCATTTCTTTCTTTTTCTTTTTTTTTGCCGGCTAATTTAATTTTCATTTTACAAAATTAGATCGGCAGGAATGAGGTAAAGATGAGTTCGGATCATTTATTTCTTTACTAAAAAAACTAAATAAAAAAAAAATAATGAGAAATAATGAAGATAAAGATATTTTAGAAGTTAATCTCAATAATAATTTAATTGCGGTTTATAATAAGTTAGTTATGTTTCAAATATTAAATGAAAAAAAAAAAATTAATTAAATTTAATATGATATATTAAATTTAAAGTTAAATATCAAATAAAATTCACAAAAATATTGAAAACTTGAATATATCGGTTAATTGTGTCAAATTATTTACGAAATTTTATTGCTATCGGCTGTGATATTTGTAAAATTTTTTGTTAATGAATTTTTTTAATTGATATAATTTGTCATATATAATATATGATTTTTACTAATAAGTAAATTAAAGACCAAGGATTTGTTTAATATACTTTTATAATTAATAGTTGTATATAGACATATGGGAAGTTTTCTAGGAAAATCAGACAGAGAATTTTTTTGATTAAAAATTAAATCTTATTATATTTTAATCTAATAACATCAAAAATTAAAATGCAATAAAAATCAAAATTTTTTTAAAAAATTTCTAGAGCCTGATTTTTCTAGTAAACTTCCATATAAATTATATAAATCCAATAAATTTTAATTTTTTTTAATAATATCTTCTTGACTAATATAGTCAAAATAATATTGTTTTTCATTTTTTCATTACCTATTAATTTTAAAAAATTTCTTTTGATCATTACTCTATTCTGTTTAATATGATATATAAAATTTGAAGAAATATAATGCTATAATGATTGAATAGTAAATCATTATAATACAAACTTTTCATACTATTTTAATAAATTAATATTATACATTATATATATACATATAATCTAAACATGGGTATCGAAACCGAAACCTCCCGAAACTCTTTAGGTTTTGGTATATAACGAAACCTAATTTTAGAAATGCATTTATTTTTCCGAAACCTGAAACCCGATTTCGAAACTTATAAACTGAAATATGCTAAAACTTATTTTATTGTTTTATAAATTTATTATA